GATAAACTCAAAAAATCGAAATCTTATGGAATAGTTACATAATATTCGGACATATTTATTTTTTACTTTTTATACCTAATATAAATAGATGATATACCGACAACGCACGATTATACACATATTATATATGGATTATATATAAATTATACGTCATTCAATTTTTTAATTTAAGTGGTCGGGTGAGAACCTATTTAGGCTGATTAGATAAAGCCAAAAGAAAAATATGAAATAATTTCAACCTAAGACTAAAATATAATTAAATTTCATATGTAGACAATTTTTATTAAAACTCATCCTTTTATAGTGAAATAAATTAATTTTTTCTAACAAAAGAAATAATGACATAAAAATAAGATTAAAAAATAAATATTGAAAAAAATATTAGAAAGATCTAAAAACCATAAATAAAAGATGACAACAAATTTCTTCTTATGTTTCATCTTTGTTGAGTATAAAAAATTTAAAAGCTAATCTCATCGATTTCATATATATACTTTTTCAACTCAAATACATAGATTATAAGATAAAGATATCTTAGAATATTTTTTTTAATTTACATTACGTGTCGTTTTTAAAAAATCACTATTACTAACAAACTGATATGATATTCGAATTTGAATTGGAATGCAATTTGAGTAGTTTGCATTGAGGTTAAGCCAAGTATGGTGTCGAAAAATAAACTACTTGATAATTTTAAGACAATATATGCAATGTTTTATAATAATAATCAACTAATTTAACATTTAATGATTCAAAGAACAAAATTTTTGTATATATAGGGTATTAAAAATTCAAATTCTAGGGCTAGAGAAATCGATAAACTTAAAGTGGAGTCATACTGAAATAAATCCGGCCAAAGAATCATTTAAATTTTTAGATAGCCGATTAAAGTGAATTTTAAGTTAAGAATAATATCTTCACTTGCATCATTATAAAGATAATCATTATTATAATATACGTTAAGTTTTAGAAATTGAAATTTCAAAATAGAAATATTTTTTGAAAGATAATATCATACCAAATAAGAGTTCAAGTCGCAGTATAAGAGTCACGTCGTAATTAAAGAATCGTTTATATTATGTCAACTTTTGTGCTTTGCCATAAATATGAGTTATTATTTCACTTTGTGGCTATTTTTATGTTCCAATGACACATATGAGAATAGTGCAAAAATAAAATTATCACTACGAGAATTGAGAAAATGTTTGTCTTTTTTTCATGTAGTATTTCTTAATTAATATCTGACAATTATCTATAATTGTTTAGAAGGTTTAAATGTTAAGGTTATTTACATATAATTCAAATGACTCAAATATTTAACATGGTTAATGTCAAATATCAAAATGGAGTAAAAAAGATTCACTAGCTAAAGAATTTTTTTATATTTCTAGATAGCCAACTAAAATGAGTTTTGAATTAAGAATATTATTTTCAATACACTATTATAAAAATAATTATTATTGAAAAATAAAGTTTTAGAAACTGAAATTTTAAGAAAGAAATATTTTTTAAGAGATATCAACACACCAAATAAAAGTTCAATGTAGTAAAAGAGTTAAGTCTTATCCAAAGAGTCATTCATTGTCTCAATATTTGATTGTTTTGCCATAAATATGAATTATTATTTTACTTCATGACTATTTTTAGGATTCAATAATACCGGCAAGAATGGTATCAAAAAAGAAAAATAGAAGAAATAGTTAATTTTTTTTCATTTAGTTAATATCCAATGATTATCTATATTTACTGAGAAAGTGTAAACTTTAAGATTATTTAAATACAATTCAAATAACTTAAATATTTGCATTGATTAGTATCCGCGCATCCGCGCGGATACTAATACTAGTATAGATTATAGTAACTCACTCAATATCTTCCTTCCATAGTTGGTATGTTTTTGTACTATTTAACTTTCAATCATATCCTTTATTAGATTTGAATCCATGTGTAAATATCTTTCCACTATTTTAGTGTAAATCCAACACCTCATTACAAACGTGTGAATAACACTATTTTTGTACAAATATCTTAAATGGGACAAAATTTAAACGGGATTTTGACACAGTTATCCATAAAAATAAAATTATTTATCCTTGTCAACCCATTTATTTTTCTACCCATAAACTAATTATATTTCCTATCCATAATAGTTTTTGTGGGAAATTTTTTCTTTATTCTCCAATTCTTTTTTTATTTCTATGTCTCTTTTCTTTTCTCCTTTTCTTTTTTCTCGTTTTCTTCTTACTTTTTCTTTTTTCCTTTTCTAATTTCATTTAACTTCTTTTTTTTATATTCTTTTTTTCTTCATAATCTAATTTCATTTACTGTTTTCACTATTTTTTATTATTATTTTATATTATTACTAAAAAAAATTAAATTGCGTACCAATTAAATGTAGCTAATACAACCAAAAAATATTAACTAACATCTGATACCAATAGTATATAGCTATACCAACAGGGTATATAATTGTACGCAAAGAGTCAAATTTTTTTCAATTCAATTATTAAACTGAAATAATATTAATTGTCAATAAAAATTTCAAAAATTTCTAAAAAGATCTAATTGTAAGAGTATACCGTTACATTATATAACATACTATAATTTTTATTTTATTTTTGCATTTTCAATTTGTCCCTCACGCTGGGTAAAAGCTTAAAGCAAACTAAAAGGAAAAAGGCAAGTGAATTTACGGGTAATAAGTATACTATTATAATTATAGTATATTGTATACTATTACAACATACTGTTACAGTATATTGCATATTATTACAGTATACTATAACAATATATTGTATACTATAATAGTATACTATTGCAGTATAGCTATATACTCCTATAATATATTGTATACTATAGCAGTATACTATTAGGTAACTGTGTTCTTCTTCGATTATTACAATGTACCGTTGCAGTATATTGTAAACTATAATAGTATACTGTTGCAGTATAACTATATACTCCTACAGCATATTGTGTACCGTAACACTATACTATTGGGTAGTCGTGTTCTTCAATTTTCAGCTGAAAATTTCGATCTCAATCACCTCAAATCAGCTTCAAATGCTATCAAATTTCAGTATGAACTTCTAAAAGGTATTTTAAGTAATATTTAACAGCACTCACTTTGAATCAAACAAACAAGAAATCTTCAAAATAAAAATTTTAAGCTAAGGCAAGAGCAAGAGCTAGGGAAAGAACAATCAAGAAAAAGTGGAGCAGAATTGAAACTAGCCAGAGGTCAACTTCTCAGATAATCAGATCTAATTTCTTTTTGAAGAAGGATATGAGAGAAATGGAAGAATAATTTTGTAAGAACAAATTACAAGTAACTCATGAAGTAGCAAACAAGGAAATAATTCGAGGATCTGGAGTTACTAAAATTAAGACCAAACCTTCTTTTTCTTTCTGGGTCACTTTCATTCTCACTCTACAAAACCCTAACTACCCAAAAATAATAATTCCTCAATTTTGACGAGAATATTTCAAGAAATCATATGGGTAATACTTTTTTAGCAAAATTTTTTGTATTTCCTTATTGGTTTTCTGAATTTTTTGGGGTGGTGACTGTTGGATCTAGTAAAAAGGAGAAGATGGTGTTTGAATATGTAGAAACTAAAGAGATAAGGCTAAAAAATACATAAGGGTTTCAGAGAAAAAGGAAAATAACATGCATTGGGGAATTGCTGATATCAAGAAGAAAGAGAGAAGAGAAGAGAAGAGGCCACATTCTTTCTGATTTTTTTCAGCTATTTTAATAGAATAAATGAATAATCGGGTAAATAGTTTGGACCGTATGGGTAGGAATAGTAAATAGTTTGGGCCTAGATATTAAAGGGTAAATAGTTTGAAATTAATGGATATAAAGTGAAATCCAATTTAAACAGCGGCATGGATTGATCCCATTTGTGCAAACACCCGAGTTCTTCCCGAAAACAAAGTTGTTAACATTACACACTGCAATGTCTATCTTCAAATTACAATAATCAAAGCCAGGGGTATAGTATAGAAACTAGCTAGTAAACATCACACCTTTTAAATAGATGGTCCGAAAATATAAATGAAACAAAGGGACCCAAAGAAAACCAAATTCAAGGAATGCAACTCATGTGGGGTAAGTTGGATCAGGATATACATGGTTATCCCTAATGGTGAACACACACACACAATATATATATATATATATATATATATAATTTTTTTTACATAAGATTAGATTTTTGAATTGAACAAATCAATCATAAGACTAATTGTTTATATAACAACTTATGAATGAATCACTTAATTAAATAAGAATAATATTTTTTACAAGTAGAACTATATATGCAACTAAATCAGTATATATAATATTGATTTTTCCAAGTTCCAGCAACCAACGTGGACTGTCAGTTGCATGTGCTTTTCATAATATAAATATAGTAGCGTCTCCGTATAGTCATCATTTATCTTTCTCCACGAGTCTTATCTCAAACCATTCCCCATTTTATTGGAAATACTTCATGATCAATCCTCCACCTAGGAGCTTACACAGATTATCTAAAGAAGAACTAATCCAAATAGTCGCACGCTCAATCATTTAAATTAAAAAAAGACGGTAGATATACAATATATGAATTATTTATATATATTATGTATATAATCGTGTATTATATATGTATACTAACTAAAAAAGGTGAATACTGAATCCAACCGGCTATTTTGTGCGAGGATCCCTTATCTGAAATCTTTAAAAGAAAATAAGGAGTGCATTTCTTATTCTTTTAAGTCTTAAGAATTTGGTCAAGCCACAGCCCCTGATCAGAATTTGATATATTGGATTGACCACTAGTGAGCAAGGTTGAAAATGTGGCCCAAATGTTGTGTAAGATTGCTATCTAATCTAAAGGGTGCGCCAAACGTAGAAGTTATCCAAAGCACAGCTCCAAACTAATACTCTCTTCATTCTTTTTTATTTGTCTTTACTCTTATCCGTTTTTGTGGTTTTCATTGATGGAATTTCCGTGAGGAGGACGATTTGTGGTTTTCTCTTATCCCCCGCACATGATCTTTAAGTCCCTTTCCCTCAGCTTTTATAGAGCTTTTCAATGACAATTGCTATTATAAGCCAAATATTCCATTTCTCCACTTCTTGATGCTAATTCTCAAGTCCTGACTTCTGCTTAGGTACGATCTCTCTCTCTATCTCTATCTCTCGCTCACACACACAAAAAAATCTAGAATTTTTTCTTGCTAAGTTTAACTATCAAGATACTTATAATACAATTAGAGCTAACTATCAAGATAATTATAAGACAATTAGAACTAATCTTGTCATGTCGTCTCTTCTCTTTTTCTTGCATTTGGATAGCAAATTGCATATTCTAAGTTGAAAACATAGTCGTATACTAATTGAACTGAGGAGTTTAGATAGTACATATTTGAACTTTATTGTGGGCAAGCAAGCACGATATGCATGTGTGCGTTTGCATATTATTACTATTGTACACTAATTGTATGATTAAGTAACTTGTTGTATTGCAGGTGTATATTGAGGATTATTATGGCTGGAAAATTTAGGAAGTGCATGCTACTATGTTGTTCAAGAAAGTCTCTCAATCAGGTTAATTCTAGACCTCTACCCTTTTATATCTGATTGCCTTTATTTTTAGTTCAATGATGGTAGTGTGATAGTCTAAGTACGCTAAAAACGTACCCGCACCCTAACATCCTTATATTTCTGCCTACAACTAGTGCTGTTCCGAGCAAAAAAAAAAGAAAAAAGAGCAATTAACATTTTACGAGTATTAATACTGCTGGGTGGTTGTTGTAATACTGACGGAAATCCACAATACAAACTCCCCTCTATCCCAAAATGTTCGATATATAATGTCTCTTCCTGAGGTCCAAATTATATAAATTTTGACAAAGATTTTAAAAACTTTCCTCCTTCATGTTATATAAGTGAAAAATTTCAAAAAAATTGAGGCGTAGAGGATAATTGTTCGAGTCTAATTTTCTTTTCCCGTACAAGGAAAAAAGCTCTCCCTCCATACAAACACAAAATCTTTATGGGCCCAAGCCCACTTTGGCCCTCCATCATATATACCTGGTTTGGACACCCACATTGTATTTCTTTGAGAAATGTATATTTTTAGCCACTTTTAAAAATAATAGCTCACAAAATATATATTTTTTTGATATCTATATATATATTTTATACACTTTTTAGCTAGCGAATGAAATTAGTTCGATCGACTGGCTAATTTTGTATTTTGCCCTATTTCTTTTCAATTCGGTTAAATCACTATACAACATAGCTTCCCCAGGTGGCTTTAATAGAAAATAAGAAGGAAACTCTACACAAATAGCCGGCCGGGTTTGTGGTTTATTTTCTAGCAAGAAGACCTACTAAATAGGAGGAAAAGGTGCTATCCCAATAGGTTCCGGATCGGATCGGCTTTCTCTTATCACAAGTCTTGTGATATATATGATACACATAGAAATGAACATCTTTGAGCAAGGAATTCCTAGTTGAATGATTCCCTATCAATATCATTACTCTTACTGAAACTTACAAAGTCATCTTTTTGAAGATCGAAGAAATTCCCTAGTATACCTAGATTATACACATATTATATACAGTTATATAAATACATATTATACATAGATCATACATATATTATTATTTTTAATTTAAACAATTGAATGGACCACTATTTAGGTTAATTATTCAAATAAAAGAAGACCATAAAACATAGGTCAATGATGAAAAATTGAAGAGAAAACGGCCTTCTAAATTATACTTTGATTAAACCAATAACCTCAAGTTAATGTTGGGAAGTTCTTGCGATTTCTAAAGTTTTAAAAGTAATATGGGTCGAAAAACCCACTAAGTAAATATACTCTATTTAGACCGCCAGGCCCAAACCATTTTAGCTTGGTCATAGTAAATTTGTAATAGCGCGCTAGCCGCTTCATGGAGGGGCATTTGCATCTATATTCGTTTTTTGTGTCACGTTTTAACTTGTGTCCGCTTTACAAAAAAAATTGCAAGTGTACCCGCTTTTTCGCATAACTTCAGCATACGGGGCTGAAGTAGCAAAGACAATCACGCAAAACTTCAGTATTCTAATAGTCGGGCCTGAAGTTTAGCTCTAAAGCTGAGCTGAAATTTTTGTTTGTAAAACTGTCGAACTTCAGCTCTAGAGCTGAAGTTTTTGTTTGTAATTGGAGCTGAAGTTTTTGTTTGTAAGCTTCAGCTCTAGAACTGAAGTTTTTGTTTGTAAGCTTCAGCTCTAAAGCTGAAGTTTTTGTTTTGTAACTGTCGAACTTCAGCTCTAGAGCTGAAGTTTTTATTTGTATCTAGCGAACTTCATCTGCTGAAGTTTTTGTTTGTAAGCTTCAGATCTAGAGCTGAAGTTTTTGTTTTGTAACTGTCGAACTTCAGCTCTAGAGCTGAAGTTTTTGTTTGTAACTGGAGCTGAAGTTTTTGTTTCTAAGCTTTAACTCTAGAGCTAAAGTTTTTGTTTTGTAACTGTCGAACTTCAGCTGTAGAGTTGAAGTTTTTGTTTGTAACTGGCGAACTTCAGCTCTAGAGCTGAAGTTTTTTCTGGAAAAATCAGCTTTTTATGTTATCGTCCGCTTTAAATGCAGCAACCTCATTTCGTCTAACTCACACTCAGCTTTGCTCAGCCATTTTTATTGCTAAGCAACCGATATTCAAAAATACATTATACAGTTCTATTATACATTCAGAAAACACAAATTTTTCTTTTTCTGAACTCAAAAACATATAATTCACATATACAAGGATAACTTTCTACTTGCTTCAATTATGCTTCTGGCTATAGCAATAAGTTTCTCCACAAATTATGTTGGAAAAATCCCAAGTACTAGAGGCTCTTTCTAAAAATGATTATTAATTTCTTGAAAACGAAATCCTAGATAAAAACGTTGTGTGAATACAAGTTATATACATAGCCGTAACAGATTTCTTGCAAAAAAGGGAGAAGGAGAAGTTTGAGAAAGAAGAGGTAGATATAACTTTGACGAGGAAAAAGGGGGCTGAAATTGTTTAAAAAGTGGGTACAAGTTAAAAGTTTTAAAAAAATAGGTATAGGTTAAATGGAGGCGACCAAATAGGACGCCCCGTACAATTTTTACTTCATGGAATTTTGAATTTTACAAGTGAAACTCCATAATAATAATTTATTTTTCAACTACAAAAGTTGTAAAGTGCTGTTTCTTAATTTTATCCCTTATGGTCAAGAAGTCTTTGGTACTACCTTCTTGGTCCTTGCACTATTTTAGGTTTCAACTGGATTCATCCTTTTCCATACTGCTGCTTTAATTATGACAGAAAATGCAGTACAAGTGAGTCGTTAAATCCTTAAAGAGCAATTAAAAGCAATATGAAATATGCACGACATGACATGAAAAGGGGAAGTTTATGTAAGTAATAAAGTTCTACTTTTACTTTTTGATTTTTCGCCAAATAAGGATATGATGACAAAGCAGTTGTGTCAATGCCTTGTGGACATTCTCGTTTTGATTCCTCATTCACCCTGTTTGGCCAAGCTGCCAAAATCTGCTTATTTTGAAAAGTACTTTTGAAAAAAAATAATTTATGTTTGGCCAATTTATTTAAGAAGTACTTTTTGCAACATTTGGTAAACTAAGTGTGTTTGGCTAATCTTTCTAAAAAATACTTTTGAGTGTCAAATTACCAAAAAGGATAATACTAAGGTCTTATAATTCTTTTAAAGAGAAAAATGAACTCAAATATTTATCGTAAGGGACTACTATTTTTAATTTATTTAATTAAAATATAAAACATAAAGTAAACAATCATATTAAAGATTTAAATCAATTTTACACTTATAGTTATACCAAAGCATATATTATTATCAAGTATAATTACTTATTGTTACATGATGATTTGAATCATCAAAATACATCATTCAGTATGAATTAGAAGTCCATTCCACAAATTATTATATAGTGATAATCTACCATGAAAGAATAAGTAAAGTCACTCATACAAGATAATATTTCTCAACAATTTCATCTCTACGTCTATCACACAACGCCTCTATATTAGTAGAAGACTTGCCTTGCATTTCTAAAGGAATATCAGAAGGTCCATCTCCTTCCTCAATCTTTGTAGTAACGTCTTCATTAACATAATAATTGAATTCCTTATCGGTATAAGAATGTCATCGGATGAAATTATGTATAGCCATGGTAATTGTAACTAGATGATTCCGAGTGTCAAACTTGAAAGATGGCATTGAACGTAAAATAGAAATAATTTTAAATATATAAAAATAATTTATTTTGTAAAAAAATAGTTAAGTATGTTTAAATTCAAATTCAAAAAGAGTAACGAATTATTAACAACACATAATATATATATTTTTTTAAATTTAAATTCAAAAAAAAACTAATTAGTATTACCTAACCTTACTAACTTTATCCTAAATTGCCAAGTGGCCTATTGTCAGGTTGCCACTTGGCTTAATGTGTGATCCTTTTTCTTCTTCTTTTAATAATATATAGATAGATTATGTGTTGGAATTGTAAATTTATTACCTATTTGTAGGTAATTTTCACAAATTAGATTTGATAACTGTTTTAAAGATTCGAGAACTAATAGTATATAGCAGAAGAAATTATAAATGATTATTTGTAGGAAGAGATTTGATAATCCAAAGAAGGATGTAGATAATTTGCTTTAGTGTCAAAAAAGAAGAAGATAATTTGGAAAGTTACAAGACATTACACAAAGAACAAATAAAAAACAAGAAAAGTCAATAAAGAATTTGGGAAGTTACAATATAATTCATGTATATGATATCTTTAGTTTTAAAAGAATGATAAAAACTAGAAAGAAAAATGAAAAGAAAAAACTTAAATTAGTAAGGGATAATTTGAAAAATATAAATTCATGGTGAGGATAGTTTTGTCTTAAATAAATTAATTTTTCACTTCTGCTTCTTACCAAAAGCAAAAAAATTGATTCTGCTGTTGGCCAAAAGTACTTCTCTGTATTGGCCAAACAACTTAAATTTTTTTAAAAGTACTTTTTTTAAGAAAAAAAAGTACTTTTGACATCCCAAAAGCTTGACCAAACAAGCTCTGAATCACCCCACAAAAGACTACACAATTAAATACGAATAATTCAGGAGAAAACTAATTTTGAGTTAATACTTCAATCAGACCGACAAGCCCAAACTTCATAAATTCAATGTTTTAGCAATTGACTCGACACGTTTTCATCATTTTAGTGAACTACTAAAAGGTCCAAACAAGCGCTTTATTATACAGAATTTAGACCAATAAGCCCAAATTTTGTTAGATGGCTTTAAGTTTCCCTTTTTTTTTTCATAGGCTTTACACGAGTAAGAAATGTTCTAGTGGATAACGGTTCTTAAGCGATACAAAGATTCAAACTCGTAAATATTTAACTGAAAACGAAATTTAAGAAAGAAAGACAGACTTTTTAGAACTTATAATCTACAACATGTCATAAATATTTTGTTTGACTATAAAATCATATTATCAAGGATAAAATAAAAATTTAAAATTGTATTGTTTTTAAATATAAAAATATATTATCCTTCTTGAAATAGATTAAAAAAGGAACTACGCGGCATAAAATGAACTAAAGAACTAGCATTTTTTGGTCATCATTCGATTGTCTTTTTGGTACCTTTATTTGCTACATAAGATTGAAAAGTATTGATCATTTATAGGTAGGACTTCCGCAAAACTCAGGCTATTAGAAAAAGTATGCTCAAAGGAGCACTCTAGAGAAGAAAAAATGAAGATGGGCGTCACTTCAGGAGTCATTTTTCTGATAATCAATTTTAATGGTATGGTTGAAATTGGGAAATGGCCTTTTGGATTTCTTAAGAACACCTATCATTTCTACTACTTCTCTCTTTTGCGATTTGCATGTTCCTCATTCGTCATTTTCCATATATGTGTCATGTAGTCTTCTTAACCTTTTGTGGCTCATGAACTTCCACATAACCTTTCCAATTCCAAAAGAATATTTTGAGTGTTGCTTTTACTTTCGAATTGAGGTTGGACATTGATTGATATGATGAGGATTACGTACAAATATTAGTCTTTCTATTTCGATAGTACGTATCATTTTATATTTGAGCCGAGGGTCTCCTGGAAACAGCCTCTCTATCCTTCGGGGTAGGGATAAAGTCTGCGTACATATTACCCTCCCCAGACCCCACTTGTGGGATTATACTGGGTCGTCATCGTCGTTGTTGTTGTTGTATCATTTTATATTTTGGTACAAAAAAAGTACTCCTTTTATTTTACTTTGTTTGTCATAATTTAACGTAGCACAATTTATTAAAGAGATAAAAACGTTTGAAAAGTTTGGTTTTAAATATGTTATAATATTTGTATAATTATACAAAATTAAACTTGTGTTCTTAAATATTTTATAATATTTGTGGATCTATAAAAACTTATCAATAGAAAATATATGAATGTATTATCTTTTTATGACAAAATAATAAAAAAATAACATCAAAGTGAAATGGAAGGAATATTCAATAACTTATTAATGTCATATCTATCGCCATTTTGAAGATGTTTATCGTACAATTTCTAACTTTTGGTTGTATTCAAAATTCAAAAAGAAAGAAAAAATCTAGTCTTTAGACTCTTAGTTAGCATTGAAGAATGCTCAATTGAATTTCAATAAGTAAAAAGGTGAATCAATCTAGAAATGATGGACTTTTCTTACTACATCGGAACTTTATATGAAAACAAAAACTCCATTTGATTTTTAATTAAATGTATAGTTCAAACAAGATATAATTAATTATTTTAAATAAGGTATGTAAAGAGCAATAAAAAATTATTTAAGAACACAAAATGTTGAAGAAATGAATCAACGTTCACTCCAAAAGCCAAAAATAGAAGGCCATAGTTGACTTGCATATGGAAAACAAACAGCCACCGGCAAGCCAGAAAGGCCACATTGCGCGTACTAGCCCTTACCTAATAAAACTTTATAACAATAATAATAATAATAATAATAATTAATAATCATATCCTGTATTTGAATTAGTCATATAATTAGGAGACAAAGCAGGATTCTATTATATCGGATTAATGTATTGTACGTGCCTGTGTGCCCCTAACCCTGTAAAAACCTTTTTAAATATTTGGTTTTTACAAGTCAGTGATCAGAGGTCATAATTTTAACTCCAAGGTGCCTAATGACTTTTATGTTATCCTGTTGAGTTTCTTATTTATTATGTCAAGGTAAACCGCAACTTTTAAGTATTGAGTAAAAAGACTAACCCTACGCACATTCTTTCAGTTTATATTTTGCGTGTAGTTGGTACCATTGTGCTAAAATAAACAAAATAGAAGTATTTTCTAAATATATTCTTTTAGTTGTTTGTTTGAGAGTAAAATATACTTTTCAAGAAAGTGTACATAATTTCAAAGTCGATGATAGTGAAGTGAAATCCTACTATTCTAATAATCACAAATTAAATTAATAAAGGGAGCTGTGAATGCTCTTAGTAAAATAATGTGCAAGGAAACTCTTTTATGAAAAACAGAATTTTTTTTGTCACAATTCGGAATACAACACTACATGTTAGAAATGTAATGAACAGGATCATAGTAGTTTCTTCTTCTTCTTTGTTACTAATGTGAAATTAATAATATCAAATTTGTATTTAGAGGATTTTCTGTTGAGTTCCCACGCTGGTGGGTCATTGGTTATTGGTAACCTTTTAGTCTCCTTTATGCTCCTCTTATTTTAAGCAAATCTCACCTTTTGAGTTAATTTTTGGAATTGAGTTAGATTTAAGGTTCATTTTTTTTAATTATGATATCTGAGTTAAATTTATTTCAATTCATGATTTATCAGATATTGGACCCTCATCTTATATTATAAATGTCCAATCTTAGACATAGTGTTGAATTCCCATATCATGAATTATTTGATCTTCTTATACAATTTTCGATAATTCTGGTTCCATGAACTACCTTTTAAATTTGAATTAAATCCAGTGACCATTTCGTTAACATCCTTTCTTTAGTATCCTCTTTTCTTTGACATATACATTATTGTTAATTTATATTATATGGGGTCATAATTGAAATGAACTGTTTAATCGGAACTGAGAAAGTGAAGATAAGTGGCCCATTCCCCCAAAACCGCAACTACAAATGGCTGACGCCTTTAGATGTACACATGTTCCATCCATTAGGGCGTTGAATATTCATTCAATCTAAATAATATTACACTTTCCAAATTCAAACTTCATTCAATCTTAACAAACATAATTTCACAAATTAAATCTAATTAAATATAGTAATTACTATCCAACTCCAACTGGATTATACACAATAACAAACCATGGATTAGCCTTCTCATCTAACCATGGTTAAATCTCCCTTTCTATAAATGCGCCCTACACTGTCCTTTTACGACACAAAGAACGTTTACTGCTGAGACCGTCTCTACTGCTAACAGAAGCCATCACCTTTCTCCTTCCTACTTCATTATGACTTTATTCTCCACAAATCCACGTGAGGTAACATTAAATCTTCATAATTCTAATAGAAATTTTATCCCCCCCCCCCCCCCCCCCATAATTCTAATATATTTTTCACCTCTTTTTCTAATTCAATCTTCCCCAATTCAAATTTCCACTTTTTTTCATCTTCCACATGAGTGCCTATCGAAATTAAGTAGGATCAAAGAGCAGGATATGGATTATATGATTTTTTGGTTAAATAACTTATATGATTTAATTTGGCGTGTAACAACGTTGTTGTGAATAAATATTGTCGTTTGTTTCTGACTTGCAGGTTACGAAAATGGCAGAGGATTCATATGAAGACGCCATTGCAGGACTGAAAAAGCTCCTCAGGTAGAGAGTACAGTACCATTAATTTTTCCCACTTTATGTCCTTTTCCCGCAGCACTTTCCGTTACTTCTATAACGTAATTAGTGCACAGAATTCTGTACTGATCTGTCATTTCCCTATTTCCAATAAGGACGCGGACGGTGATTTCATCATCTTATTTAGAGCTATCCTAATCCGTTTGCACTACGCGGGACCTACTTTTTGTTTGTCAGTAGGTCCCACACGGAGTGGGTGGTTGAATATTTAATTTTTTTTTTTTTTTTTTNCCTTTTCCCTCAGCACATTCTGTTACTTCTATAACGTAATTAGTGCACAGAATTCTGTCCTGATCTGTCATTTTACTATTTCCAATAAGGACGCGGACGGTGATTTCATCATCTTATTTTGAGCTAATCCTAACTGGTTTGTCTGTTTGCACTACGTGGGACCAACTTTTTGTTCGTCAGTAGGTCCCACACGGAGTGATGGTTGAATATTAATATTTTTTTTTTGGCTTTGTTGTTGGTAGTGAGAAGAATGAGCTGGAAGATGCAGCGGTGGCGAAGATACGGCAGTTGACGGCGGAGTTGGAAGGCGCCGGCGGGAAAAAGTCTGACCCGGATGAGAAGATCCGAACCGGATTCGCCCACTTCAAGGCGGAGAAATATGAGTAAGTTGTTAGCAAGTACTTTGCCGTAAAAGATTTGTGTCCTATGCTATTAAAAGTATGTCCGAACCTTCGGTTATGGGGCATAAAATATTGCAAGATTCTCGGATATGCTGCCTGAAACTTTTAATAAGTGATAAATTGACATAATTCATGTTGATTGTTCTTTTCCACTATTGAAGGTTGGAAGTTTGACTCTCGGTGTAAAATACTATGTTACTCCTCCAAAATAAGTTATACTCCGTCCGGTTCAAAATAAGTGATTTTTTAGATTTTTTTTTTGGTCCAAAATAAATGATTTTTTTCAGATTTCAAGAATGAAGGAGTTAATAGTGTCGGAGTATGTGTTAGAAATATTTATTTGAAGAAATAATAAAGGTTAATATGGCAAATTTCATTGTTAATTAATGTTAAAAGGTGGATTTTTTAATATGTATGAAAACAACTAAAATCACTTATTTTGGACGGAGGGAGTAATAGAGAACATATTTTATACGTTTAACATAAAATTAATATGTTGAATAATTATTATATAACGATGCTATTATATATATATATTTGATTGCATTTTAACTTTTTTTAGCAGGTAATCTAAGTGACTAATCATGCTTTTATGGATGGTTATTTTTAGTATGATTTGATAGTATAATGTTTTTCTCTCTTTAATGTATATGAGTTGGATTTAAAAGAATGAAACTTTTGCTTGGCCAATTCATATAAGTGGTTGGTTAACGAGATTCCTAGCTTAATTTAGTTTGAAAACAAGATCGATGTCTATAATGATTACTAACTTTTATTATAATTCGTCCATTGTATTAGCATAATTTATCATATTTAGAATAAAGTATATTTATTGAAATTGCAAAAGTTAGGAAATAATTCTACTAAATGATAGAAATATATTGATAGGTCCAAAAAAGTCGAAGAAATTGATCAAAAAAGAAAATTAAAGTCAAAGTAAACAGGAGTAGCTCTTTGATATGATTGTGGACAAGTGATTGCTAGGTGTCCAAATTGTGTCTGCGAAAGGTGGAATCCTGATCATTGAAGCCTAGCTTTCTGTTCACTCTTTCTTTATAAAGATCATGGGCCTTACGTTGCAAAAAGAAAGAATAGTCTCCATAATTAATGGAGAAGAATATGGTACCCATTTTTGTACATTAAAGTGCGCTTAGAAAGAAAAGAAAAGAAGTCGTTCTTAAAAGAGAATTTTAAGTTTACTTCTTGAAAGTAAAGCAGATTTAAATTTCATTTAAAAAAAGGTAATTGGACTAACGATGTTGATGAATCTCCAAAATATACAAGATAAAGATTTCAAGTGTGTTTGTAAGTTCATTTAAACATAGAAATTTTTTGTAATTTGCAAAGCTTCTTGGGATAGTTGTAATAAATATTTTTGCCTATATAATCATGTTTATTAATTCAGAATTCTTAACCTTCGAAGTTGCACTTTATTTGTAGGAAAAATCCTGAGTTGTTTGGACAGCTTGCAAAAGGTCAAAGCCCTAAGGTAATTCATACAGTATTAGTAATGTGTGATCTCTTCAGGCTTCTTGTTTCAGCAGTTAATAATAAATTATTGATCATATCCTTGGTTAATATAGTAACAATAAGACTTTTTAATGATCCAAGCAACATAGAGGGTTTCCTACGGTCAATTGTGCATTGTAGAACTACTACTACTACTAATAGCATTTATTATTATTATTATTATTATTATTATTATTATTATTATTATTATTATTATTATTATTATTATTTGTCACCATAGCGCTCTTTTATGAGTTAGCATTTTCTGAAGTCTTTTTCCTCCCATTAGTAAAAGAAGAAATAATTATATCTTGCAAATTCTTTGATCATGACCCTTTTTTCCAAAAATATTTTATGTAAATCAATGTCAATACATGCTGTCCTCCACAATTGTTAATTGTTCCTGGACGTCAAGAATGCGCTTTATTGTTGGGATTGCACAACAATTGTCATGGCGTTTAAGGCACGTTAGCATTGACAAATACTCATGATTTCTCATTAAATAACGTGCAGTTCTTGGTATTCGCCTGCTCCGATTCCCGAGTATGCCCATCCCACATCCTCAATTTCCAGCCAGGTGAAGCTTTTGTGGTCCGTAATATTGCAAACATGGTCCCTCCTTTTGATCAGGTGAATTTTACTGCCTTATGTCCTATAGCAATTGCAGTTGATAATTTTACATATACAATAAATATTAAGTTTGTAACCTTTTCCACAATAAGTGCAGTAGTCTGAATTTGCCTTTGAAAAAATGGCAAAAGAGAATAAAGTATTGCTTATGTAAATCTAATACCACGCTGGAGACTTAATCAACAAGAATCAAGAACCAGAAATAAAAGACCTAAACGCAAGTTGAGGAAAATGATGTGGTTATTATTGTTGGGTATGCGAACAAAGTCCCACATTGGTAGCTGAAAAGATTGGTAGTCTACATATAAGGTGTATGAATCTCTTAATGGTGTGAGACCTTTTGGGGAAAATCGTGCGGGCTTGGCCCAAAGTGGACAATATCACACCATGTTAAGAGTATCTTTGGGCCATTTAGCCCAACAATTTGGTATTCTTTATTTTCGAGTTTGCCTCTACCTCGTCATAACAATTATGGCATAAAGTTTTGAACTTTAAATTGTTCGGAGTTGAATGAAGATTCTGAAACATGTATGTTACAGTGGGGCGAATCTTTAACCCATCATTTATCTTGTACTTTTTGCACGCTGTTCTAATTAATAACTGTATTTTAAGTCAATCTAACTCTCTAATTTTGTTATACAGACAAAATATTCTGGAGTGGGTGCCGCAGTCGAATATGCAGTTGTCCACCTAAAGGTTAGTCATTTTTAAACACCTAGATGACGGTTGATTATTGGTTTTACACGTAGTACGTCTGCTTAATTAATCCTTTAATTAATAAAGTAGCTCATTTTATCCTTACAATAGTACGTTAATTAGGGCATGACTCTAGCGTTTTTTAGCCTGCCATTTATGCTCCATTGGTCCAACGCTACCCAACTAAAGAGATGCCTTTCTTACTTTCTCCCCATATTTATGTAATTGAAAATGTCAACTTGTCTGACTTTGACTTTAATATCATGAGTTAAGAAGGATATTTGTAATAAAAATATAACTTAAATATAAAGAGAATCCCTTTTAGGAGTGTGTTGAGGCCATTCTTGTAATAACCTAAGTTTCTCCTAATTGAGTTGGAGAAACATTTTTACCTCTCTTAACATTGTTTTGTGTGAATTTTCAGAGAAAATATTTTTATTAACTTCTAAATTAATATTGAAGTCCGACAGTACTTGTCTGATTGGTCTCAAACCTTTATAAATTTGCCTCTCACTGAACGTCCCATGTGCGTGGTAGAAATCAAAATACACATTAATTACGTCAGCTCATAGCTTCAGCCTTAAGTAAGTAAGGATTAGTACAATGAGTTAAATTATGATAATTTTTAATTGCCTATTCTTGTCCTTTTTCCTATCTATTTGGAGTTGTGACTTAACAAAAACATGCAGGCGGTAGAAATCAAAATATGCATTAATCAGATCTTAACTTCAGCCTTAAGAAAGTAGGGATTAGTACAATCATTTAATTTGACGATTTTTAATTGTCTCTACTTTTCCTATTTATTTGGAGTTGTCATTTAAAACAAAACTAAAAATGTACAACAGGTGGAGAATATTTTGGTGATTGGACACAGCTGTTGTGGAGGTATTAAAGGGCTAATGTCTATCCCTGATGATGGGTCCACAAACAGGTTGGTTTATCCTTATTAAAATAAATGCCTGATAATGATTGAGAATGAAACTGGACTTATCAATAAGCGAATAGTCACCCTTATAAAGCTAGTACTACTTGATAAATAAAGATGATCTGATCAGTCCATTTTGAGTTTTAAAAGCATGTCTGCTCATCAAGATTATTCTAATATAGTAAATTAGGGATACTGTTTATATCAGTCCAATTTGTGCTTAAAACTATGTCTACTCATCAAAAAGAAAAAAATCCAACAGTGCAAATAGTTGGAAAATTCTTCTGATAATTTTTTAGTTTCTTTTGTTGTTTCTGCGTGATTTCTTTGAAGGAGTATGCAATAATTATTCTACATTGCGTGTCAAGAAGTCAAATACTGGTTGAGTAAATTGGTATAAACATTAAAAATTCATACACGAAGGTTTTATACTTTGTGCATTAAAATGCAGTGATTTCATTGAAGAGTGGGTCAAAATCTGTCTGCCGGCCAAAGCGAAGGTAAAGGCAGAATGCTGCCATTTGGATCCCACTGAACAATGCACAAAATTGGAGAAGGTAATTACTCTTTTCAGTACATTAACCATGACATCTTTTAGTAAATAATGCATAAAATTTTACCATTTGGCAGACTTAATAAATTTTAGATATATAATTATAATGTTAAATGGTTGAGCAGGAGGCAGTGAATGTATCACTAGGCAACTTATTGACATATCCATTTGTAAGAGAAGCTGTGGTGCAGAAAAGTCTTGCACTGAAAGGTGGACACTACGATTTTGTGAATGGATCTTTTGAGCTCTGGAATATAGACTTCAATCTTACCCCTTCTGTTTCACTCTAAACTTTAACAAAACTGTAACTTTTCATGTAACCAATGCAACTCCGTTTCAAGTTTTTTTCTTCACTTTGCATTTTGATGTAAATGTATTACTTACTGAACAATGTGTGTCACACAAATAATATTAACCGGCTGTTGGAGCTTTGGGCTAGCTTATCTTAAGGTTATCTCCTTATGTTTTTTCACAAATCACAACCTTTGTTTTCGGTGATCGAGCCAAAGTTTTACAGACCAGTTACTTCTATATGTCGAATACAGAATCTTTCATCCATCAAACAATTGTTGTTTTCTACAAGTTGGGCATAAATATAATGGCGTGTTTACCATTTTTTTTGGGAGCTATCATTTCACTGCTCTATTTTAATTAATTCCTAGATTTTGTTGGGAAGCTAGTGTGGCATCTCAAAAGGTAGTATAGATGAGAACTGCTCAAAAGGAGAGCCATGTTTCAAGGAATGGGATGAATGACTACTTTTCTATTGGTTGTGCGAGTTTCAAGATAAGAGATAAAGCTTCCACTATTTATCCAATGGGAATGGTCCACGGAACATTGCTCAACCATTGAGGTGCGTAAAATTATCTCTACTGTCGAGGGAAAGAGCATGGGCACTGCTCAAACGAAGTCATGGCTCAACCTGGCCCACGAACACAACTTGGATTTTTCCCTTTAATCATAGACAATCCCATGACTAAACAATAGATTGTAGAGGGGTCCAATCTTCTACCAATTGCTTAGTAAGTATTCGAGAAAGGGCAAGAGAGATGGTGCATTTTTATGTCAAATACTAATTATATTTCCAATTTATTCCTTTTCTGCCGTAATTACCAATCTTCCCCTAAAAGAAGGCTCTAATAGTCATCCTACTTTAATATTTAAACTGCAGCCATTCATTCAAATGATTTTAGATGTCCATATATTGGGGTGGCAGTTTGAGGGGAGAAATTTAAAAATAGCCAGATTTATAAGTGATCATTCAGAAATAGTTACAGTTTTAAAAGTAATTAAAATTTAGCCACTTTGTATGTAAAGATAAATTTGAACGAAAATACTGTTCAAAATTCAGAAAATACTCCAGCATAATATACTGGAGTTCCAGCATAAGTATATTCGAACTCCAGTATATTATAATGGAGTTCCAGCATAAGTATACTGGAATGCATATTATAATGGAGTTCTAGCATAAGTATACTGAAACTCCAGCATAATATACTGAATTTCCAGTATAATATACCGGTCCATCATAATATGCTGGAAGTTCATACACAGGTGCTCCAATCTCCAGTATATGTTCCAGCATAATATGCTAAAAGTTCATATACAAGTGCACCGATCTCCAGTATATTATGCTGGACCGGTCCCTGTTACAGCAAAATATTGGCTATTTTTCAATGACTTTGCAAACGCTGGTTATTTTTGAATGATCAGTCCGAAAACTAGCTAGCCCGTGCTATTTTTACCAGTTTGTGCACTAACGTATTCAACCCATTCAAGGTTGGGCCGCTCATTGACCCGCCCATCCAACCAATCTCAACCCATCTAAAGGGAATTTTGACTTAGCTATACTACTTTTTAAACTTATTTACCCTTACTATTGAAGTTTTAACTTGATTACAAGTTGATATATAATTTACCAATTATATAGTACCTATAGTGTTAAATAAGTATCCTTAATATTAGAAATTGAATAGGGAATATCAGTTATCTGCTATATTGGTAGTGTATCCAATTTTTCTTCTCTCTTCGTTGCGCTCTCTCTCTCTCTCTCTATTATTTCTTTTGCCCTATTTTTCTTCATTCAATCTTTTCTGCTTCTTTCTCTTTTTCATCTCCTTTATCCTTTTTTTCTTTAGGGAATTCTTCAATGGATTTTAATTGTTTGATTATGGAGTTTTAACTTAATAATTTTCTTTTATGAGGCACAAATGGTATTCGAATTGAAATTTTCAATTAATAAATTTTAAAGGTGTTTTATTCTCCATCAGTGACAACCATTAAAAAGCTTTGAAGCTTTAAATTCGAATTCAGGTTATCAAAATATATTATCTATTTAGATTAGATATTGTTGCAAATAATTGGAAATATTCTTTGGAGTTTATATCTCAATTTTGAAGGTGTTTAGTAACGATTAAAGTTTATTTTGACTAAATTTTCATATTGAAACTAGGAGGAGGATGAGGAGGATAGATCTAAAGCTACCATGAACAAGACGCAGCTTCAACCGGAACGTTGATACATCTTCAATGCCAGCTTCCGCCATACACAACAACATCAGCTCCAAAATCTGCACACAAGGTGAAGAAGTATAGTATGAGTACGACCGACCCCATGTACTCAATAAGTAACAAACCTAACCTTAGGTTGAAAGCAGTGACGAGCTTGGGCAACGGTCAGAGTCCAAGACCAATGGCCAACACCAACTCATAACAATATAATAAAAATAGTACAAGAAATAACTCAATTATATGATGCTCAGCTCGTTCACAATTACGAATAAATAGGCATGCTTTTTCAAGTATAACAGTAAAACCCAAATCTTTCACCGAAATCAATAAAATATGAGTAAGTGAGAAATCTGCGATTTTTCCCAATAAGTTTCAACAATAGATAAGATGTTTCAATCTCAGATAGCATAAGGAAAGTACATATTTATGCCTACATGTCAATGTATATGTGAAGTCATAAATGTCACAAAACCATGTAGCATGAGGAAATGCATCTCTATACCTGTATGTCAAGTATGCATGTCAAATGCAATGCATCACAGTCAAGAACTAATGTACTCACACACTCAAAGTACTCAATATCACTGTCTCGCACTCCCACTCATCACGCTGAATCACTCAACACACTCAGTCACTCAGCACTATACGATACCTGATGTGATGTGCAGCCCGATCCCATTATGAATTAATAAATAATGTGCTCACTACTGGTATGTCAGACTCCGGAGGGGCTGATCCTGACCAAGTGCTAATATAAGCCATCATGGCATGTTGCGGCGTGCAGCTCGATCCCATCAATTATATATATAAAGCCCATGGGGCCTACTGCGGCGTGCATCTCGATCCATATAATAGTAATACATATAAAGACCACGTGACCTGCTGCAACATGCTGCTCGATCCCATCAATAATATATATAAAGCCCATAGGGCCTGCTGCGATGTGCAGCCCGATCCTATCAATCTCGCTCATAATCTGGCCCTCAGGACCCAACTCATTCATCAATCTCTCCAGTCTCTCGAGCTCACAAATCTCATGCCAATCAATCCAAACAATGATAACATGATGTGATAACAAATAATAACAGAAACTGAGATATGATATGTAAATGAATGAATATGATTAAGTATATGATCGCAGTTTAAGCAAATAATTCAACAGCAGAAATGACCATAGTGAGTCCCAACAAACTAAGAATATAGCCTAAAAATGGTTTCTAACATGGATCACAGATCAATTATTCTAGCACGTAGAAATTTCATCGATAAAAACAAGATTAGGTAGCTAGACAGTACCACAGAATCAACTGAGTCACAATTCACACGATGCACGCCCACATGCCCGTCACCTAGCATGTGTTACCTCAACATCAAACACATATCATGTATATTCAGGGGTTTATACCCTCGGAACCAAGTTTAGAAGTGTTACTTACCTCGAACAAGCCAGATCCGATATCGAGCAAGCCAACCAGTACTCTAGGAATGCCATCCCGCGTGTACCAACCTCCGAACGGATAGAAACTTGCCAAAAGCAACTCAAGAACATCAAATATTTCCAAAGAAAACAAATCCAATCGATAAAGGCAGAATCTTTAATCAAAATCCCAAAGTCAACCAAAACGTTAACCCATTCAATTACGAGTCCAACTATACCAGTTTCACTCAAATCCGACTCCGAATCGATGCTCAAAACTCAAAAATTCACTTTATGAAATTTAAGACAAAACCCCTCAATTTGTCTTTAAAATTCATAATCTAAATGACAAAATCGAAGATAGATTCCCAAAATATAATCAAAACCGAGTATAAAACACTTAGCCCAATCCATGTGGTGAAAATCGCCTCCAAAATTATCCAAATATGAGCCCCCCAACTCAAAATATGCTAAAATGAATAAAACCCTCGATATATAGCTTCTGCCCAGGCTTTTTCGCATCTGCAAAAGTATTAGCCGCTTCTGCAGCGTCGCTCCTACGACGCAAATTCCGATTCTACGGACTTCACTTATTAGGCGACCTCTCGCACCTGCAGAACACTCTTCTGCTTCTGCGACATCACAGGTGCGAGCTCATATTCACTCCTGCGCCCTTTCTTGCTTCTGCGCTCCAGACAATCACTCTTGTGCTTCCGCAGTTGCGCTAAAAAGTGTCGCTTATGCGATCCTTCCTCACTCAGCCTTTTCTCGTTTCTGCGATGAACATCCCGCATCTCCGAAGTAGCTTCTGCGACCAAGATTTCGTAGATGTGGCTACAGAAGCACCTGGAATTCCTTTAGCAATGCAATCATGAGACAAAATGATCCGAACCACATCCGTAACTCACCCGAGCCACTCGGGACCCTGTCCAAATATACCAACAAGTTCCATAACATAACACGGACCTACTCGAGGCCTCAAATCATGCATACCAACATCGAAAGAACAAATCGTTCCTCAAATCAAACTTATTGAACTTTCAACTTCCAAAACTCATGTCGAATCGTATCAATTCAACTCGAAATGAACTCAAATTTTGCGCACAAGTCCCTAATGATATAACGGAGCTATTAAAATTTTCAGAACCACAATCTGAATCAAATATCATCAAAGCCAATTCTCGGTCAAACTTATGAATATTGAAAACCTTTAAATTGCCAATTTTTGCCAAATAGTGCTGAAACCTTCTAGAAATATCCAAATGCAAATCCGGGCATATGCCCATGTCCAAAATTGCCATTCGAACATAACAAAGTCATCCAAACTCCGATCCGAGGTCAAATACACAAAAGTCAAACTCAATCAACACTTCCAACTTAAAGCTTCCTAGTTGAGAATCATTCTTCCAAATCAATTCCGAACAACCTGAAAAACCAAAAACTAACGACTCATACAAGTCAAAATACATCATGCGACTTCAAACGGATGAAGGAATGCAAATGTTTAAAACGGCCGATCGAG